AGCCTCATTGGTAGTTCGATAAATAGCATCCTCTGTCCAACGTTCTTTTGTTGTTTGTTGTTGCTTTTTTTGTTTTGTTTTTACTTTGTTTAATTTTTATTGTATATATGTAATCATTTATATTTGGATCTTAGTTGCCTTCATGATAAAGAACACTGGAAAACCAAATAAAGAGATTTGAGAAAAAAAAAAAAAAGCATAATAATTTATAACAGCAGCTGAAATTAGCTACCTTTATCTGACAAAAGGCCAGCATTCACTTGCTTTTCAGGGCTCATTCAATCTGAACCGACATCTGTGAACTATATCTGATTCTTTAGTAACTTGGAGATATGTTTGGTGCTTAGCAAGTCATTTATCTTAGCTGTTTGTGCTTGAATTTGTTTGTCTTTCAGGTCTTTTGTGTTGTTTTTAGACTCTTTATTGCTCTTTGTTGCTCACCAGTGCAGAATTGCTGAAGAAATAGCAAGGTATTTACAAAAAGTCCCATAAGTATTTGGAAAATAACGGTTTTTGTCATTTAGCACCACAGCAGATTGTTTGTTTTTGATTAAAACACGCTAGCTACCGTTCACCGCTTGTCTGCAGGCTTTATTAAATGGAAAACTTCCACAACAGCCATAACACTGCAACAGACAATGTTCCTCTTAGGATTGTCAGGCCAAATGTCACCTGGCCTAACCTGTTCTTGAGTATAATAGCGAGAGTTGCAGTGAAAAGCTACCACATGCCACGAGTTCAACACGATGGGATCAACATGGCTGCAAAACCACTTTACAGTCAACTGTCTAATTACACTTGAGCCTGTATGAACGGAGACAATTTATAAAATAAAAATCTTTAACAGTTGATGCAATAATTCTGTTAAACTAAAGCTCAAAGTCTGCACTTCAATCACATCTTGTTGCTTTGATTTAAAACCCACTCTGAAGACGCTTGGAGGGAGGAATTGGGCATAGAAATATCAGAATCAATGTGGGACAAATGCCTCAATCAAATCAAAAATTCATTCCTGCTCTGTTAACAGCAGGCATCAATTAATACAATTTAAAATTGTCCATCGGCTACATTATTCCAAAGTTCGGCTACACAAAATTTATCCTTCAACTTCCCCCATATGTGACAGATGTAAAACATCAGGGAGCACATTGGCTCACGCTTTCTGGCATTGCAACTCATTGACCAATTTTTGGTCCAAAATGTTTGGTTGGTACTCTAAAGCTTATGGGATTTCCATCTCACCCAATCCAGAAATTGCAGTTTTTGGCTGTGTACGTTCCAGAACTATCCCTGCGACTGTGCGGGTGCCAATCGACCTCGAAATGGTGATTGCGAAAAGACTTATTCTAAAGGAATGGAAGTCCGCTGCTCCTCCCTCCTTCAGTGTCTGGCTCAATGACATGTTATCAGTCATTCAACTGGAAAAAGTTCAATACCTGCAAACACCTGCAGCAAATGTTTTCTCAAAATCCTGGACTCTGTTTTGTACTCACCTTGAGAAAGCTCACGTTGTATAAACATGTACCATGGCACTGCACTGTTTATTACATATTCATGACATTTAATTCATTATGGATACTGGTAGTTTCTAATTTTAATGTTTTCTTTCTTTTTTTCTTTTGTCTTTCCCTATTGATTATTATTATTGTGCTATTTCTTGTCCTATCCTCTCAGCGCCTGAGCTGTATTTGTTTGTTGGGTTTTCTATGCTGAAAAAATTAAAATAAAGTATTGAAAAAAAAAATCCACTCTGTAATGGTGGCGTAAAATTACAAAAAAAACCCAAAACACTATGAACTTATGGACCTGAGAACCAATATGGAGTCAGCATGGACAGAAGCTGTTCTGTCACACACTGACTTGTTCAGCGTTTTCAATTTCAATTCAAATGAAACATCAGCCATTGTTCCATTGTAACCTTTTTAAAGTGATTTTTTAGCAGCAGGGAAAATATATGCATTATGCATTAATTCAGAGCTTGTCTGAAGTGGTCAACTAAATTAACTTTTCCAATCAATTTCATGAATGTGTAGCATTCAAATTGTTTTAAAAATCAATTCTCAGCAGCAGAGCAGACAGCTTATGTGAAGTTTCTCCCATCTGAAAACCAAACCTCTTGCTCCCTTTCATAGTGCATTTAAAACTGACAGAGTTAGAAGGTATTCTGCAGCCGGAGCTCAAAATCCTCCCCTAATCATAAGGGAGACACACAATCAAAGCTATTGTACCTGAATTCTAACAAGTTATTTGACTGCAGCACCACAGAAAATGCAGTCAGATAAAACAAAGTTTTGTGAAGTTCTCCTTACCTGAAAATGCGATCAGAGGGTTGTTCTCCCATCACAAGATCAAAACCGCGCTGGAAGATGGTGTAAGGCCAGGGACTGGCATGAAAAAAAGGAAAGAAAAAAGAATAGATCAGAGGAACAGAAAAAAGGTGAGAGAGAATAAAACTGTGTGTTAAAATCAAAGCCTGCGAAGTGTTAAATTTTTCATTGTACCATCCTCCTAATCTAAACCCCCTAGACATCGAAACACGAGCCATGTTTCCATGTCTGACTTTGAGTTTTTCCCGCCTCGCAGAGCCCAACAAATCACAACCAGCATTGCAATGTGCACTACGTGTAAACATAATGATTGAAAAATGTGTTTCTCCAGCAGCTGACATGCAATGTGACTTTGGCTCATATCTATTTACCAGGGGAGGGGATAAGAGAGGATGACTGGGCGAGGCAGAATGGGAGAAAGGGTCAAAGTGAAAGGAGAGAGAGACGGAAGGTGATGGAGAGGGCGCACAAAGGAGCCAGTGAGAGTGGGGGCATCAAAGGGAGGAGACAGATGCCAAGAGGCAGAAGCGAGAGAGGGGCAATGATGGAGATTAATGGGGAGTGGCAGCTCCGGGACTAAACAGTCTGCAAAGTGAGAGTGTAAGGGGGAGAAGTGACAGGGGACCGATGTCATTCTGAGCAAACTCCACCACTACTGTAAGCAAAAAGAACATCGAGGAAGACTGGAGCTGCATCCACACCGTGGCCGTGGTCATTAAACATTTAAGTCACCCCAGGGTGCTCGCTCAGTTACACAGGTGTGACAGGGACTCAGGGAGAGCACCAGGGAAATGAGATAAAGAGGTGCAGAGTTACGTAGATAACGGGGGCAAATTTCTGACGCTTCATAAAATGCAGACAAAGATGAAAACATTTCCGACTTGCACTGAGGCTGGCGTGTGATACAGAGAATACATGCCTGCCGGCGACGTGATAGATTAGGGATGTATGATTTGACTTGTTCAGGC